CTCTCTCTCTCTCTCTCTCTCTCTCTCTCTCTCTCTCTCTCTCTCAGTTCTGGAGCCACCAGCCTTCCCAGAGCAAATGTCCTGGGATTGCTAAAGGTCCACTCTGCCAAGGGTGTCCAGACAAAGGCAGACAGAAGGATTAAAGAGGCCCTAAGCTGTCCCAGGCTAGTCTATACACTGTTGTGTTTTGGTGTCCAGGAGGAAAGAACTGAGGGAGCAAGGAGCCTAACCGTGCTTGCACAAGTCTTCCAAGGACTGTCTTATAGGACAAGTGCCTCTGAAGCCCCGGACTGGCTTGGACTGGCAGAACCCAAACACAGTGACTGGCCTGGAGAGCCTCCCCCACTTCTCAGTGCCCGTATCTCTCAAACAGCCCACTCCTGGGACATCTGCAGGGCACTGATGCTAATGGGCATGATAACCAACCAGCCTCTGGAAGAAATCCAAGAGGCAGAAGGATTTGGTTGAGCTGTCTGAAAGGCGCCAGTACTTAAACAGAGCAGATAGAGGACACAGGGACCTTCGACCTGAGTCACCCAGAAATGGAGAGCTGGTACCCTCTAGTCTCTCCCCTCTCACCTGTCCATCAGCACGAGGTCGTCCTTCAGAAGTGGACACTTGGAGTTGGGCCACATCACACTCACCAGGCTGCCTGCATGCAGCTGCTCGTCCTGATGGAGAGCATGGGCCAGCTGGTTCACTGTCTGATGGTGGGGACAGGAAATAAACATCAGGTCAACAAGTGTCATTGGGAGATCTCCTGTGCCACCTGCTACAACACAGCAGCCTGGGATGGCTGGCCAACTGGCTGCCCCTTTTCCTTAAAAAAAAAAAAAAAAAAAAAAAAGGATTCAAGGGCTGGAGAGATGGCTCAGAGGTTGTGAGCACTGGCTGTTCTTCCAGAGAACCGGGGTTCATTTCCCAGTACCTACACAGCAGCTCACAACTGTAACTCCAGTTTCAAGGGATCTGACACCCTCCTGGATAGACTCTGTGTGCACCAGGCACCTATGCGGTACATAGACATACAAGTAGGCAGACACTTACACACATAAAGTAAGAAAAGTTTTAAAAGGTTCCTTAATTTTTTATGTATGAGTATTTTGCCTGCATATATATACATGTACCACCTCTGTGTCTGGTACCTCTTTAGGTCAGAAGCTGGCATTGGATCCCCAGGAACTGGAGTTACAGATAGTTGTGAGCCTCCAGGTGGATGCTGGGAATTGGACTCAGGTCCTCTGGAAGAACAGCCAATGCTCTAAACCACTGTGCCATCTCTCCAGCCCATGTTTTGAATGCTATAATCTTGAACATTTACTTTAAATAAATGAAAGAAAAGTTTAATAAGTTAAAAAAAGACTGATTAATTTTTATCTATGTGCATGTGTGTATGCAGGTGTCCACAAAGGCTGGAGCTGGAGTTACAGAAGGATGTGAGGCACCTGACAGTGCCGGGAACTGAACTTGTGTCCTCCGGAGAGCAGCCGGCACTCTCAGCAGAGGAGCCTCCCTCCAGCACCCTTCCTTCCACTGACTGCACTCCCCACTTGGAGCCTCTCTCAAGCATCACCCTGAAGTTCAGCTGATTCTGTGTTAATTCTCTAGGAGTCAAAATGCACACCTAGCTGCAAGGAGGGCACAACCGCCTCAGGAGACCAGAGCAGC